TCAAGGTCTGCGAAAGCCAGGGCAGCTACCTCGAATATTTTTCGTAGGACGGTAACTCTGAGAATCAACAACCACTGTGTCCGGAAATACCTGGATCTGCACACGAAGTGCAGGTAGTGTGAGTACAACCAACTCAATAAGTAACAAGTGTAACTATTGGGCTGAAAGTAGTGACGAGCTTCACAGGTACAGTTCAATTACAGAATTACAGTACAGAAATGTAGGCATGCTTTCAAGTTCAATAGTTAAAGCCCAAACAGGTAAATCATGCCAAGTTCAATTGAAACAAAATATGATACATCTCGGTATCTACATGATAGTTATATATGCCAACTGAAGTACAAAACAGTAATGAAATAATATGCATAACCTCAGAGTATCAGTCACTCAGCCCTCCCATTCACTCCATCCTCATAGTCACCAATTCCTCACAGTCACTCCATCCTCACAGCCATTCAATCCTCCTAATCGCTAGGCACTCGCACTCGCACTCAATAGGTACCCGCGCTTACAGTGGATATGCAGACTTCGAAGGGGAAATTTTAGCCCAAACGCTATAATAAGCCAATCATGGCATGTATCACATAAACATGCTGCTGCATGCAGCACGATCCCATAAATATCCTCACAATCAGGCCCTCAGCCTCACTTAGTCATCAATCTCTCCAGTCTCTCGCGCTCTCAACAATCATGATAATCAACCCAAACAATGATGATATAATGTATTAATAAAGGACAACAAAGACTAAGATATAATATGCAAATGATAGTTGTGACTGAGTACAAAATAGCAAATTAAGCAAATAATTTAACATGTACTACGACCTCTGTGGGTCCCACTAGTACCAACACGTAGTCTAAGCAGGATTTCTAACATGACTGGCAGATCAATTACTATAACACATGGTGAAAATACGGGTAACGACAAGAATATTCAACTATACAGTACCATGGAATCGACCAAGTTACAATTCTTACAGTGCACGCATGCACGTCCATCACTTAGCATTTGCGTCACCTCAACACCAATCACATAACATGTAATTCGGGGTTTCATATCCTCAAAATCAAGTTTAGAAGTGTTGCTTACCTCAAACCGTGCAAATCTCTACTCCAATAAGCCCTTGCCTCGCGAAACAGCCTCTAAATGCCTCGAATCTAGCCACAAACAATTCGATACGATCAACTCAAGCTATAGGAATCAATTCCATATAAGATGCTAAGTTCTTAATCAAAAGCCAAAAAGTCAACTCAAAAGTCAACCCCCGGGCCCATGTCTCGGTATCCGATGAAAGTTACAAAGTCCGAACACCAATTCAACCATGAGTCCAACCATATCAAAATTACTCAAATCTGATACTAAAACCTCACTCAAATCCCCAAAATTCGGCCTAAGGAGTTCCCCCATTTTTCCCCGATGTTTCAACCCAAATCACCAATTAAATGATGAAATCAAAGGTATAATTATTGAATTTGACCAAAACTAAGTAAGAATCACTTACCTCAATCACTCCCTTGAAAATATATCCAATAATCGCCTCCAACCGAGCTCCCAAAATCAAATTGTGAAATAAACTCAAACCCTCATTTTTGAAATATTTAAGTCTGCCTAGATGTCCTTAATCACGATCGCGGAAATTGCTTCGCGATCGCGAAGTACAACTCAACTGCCAGAAATTTAACCCTCCGCGAACGCGAAGAACTGATTCCTCAACCTACGCGATCGCGTCCTTCTTCACGCGATCGTGAAGAACAAACGCGTGACCTCAGCTGATACCTTCTATACTCTACGCGAACACGACCTTAGCCACGCGTTCGCGATTCACTGCATCCCACAACTACGCGATCGCAATCTCCATCTCGCGAACGCGTAGAGCAAAGACCTCCACTACCCAATTAATGCTACGCGATCGCTGACCTGTCCACGCGATAGCGTATAAGGAAACCAGACCTGTGCACCAGAAAATTCAGCAAATCTCCAAGTCCAAAATTTGACCAGTTAACCATCCCAAATCTACCCGAAGCCCCCGGGACCTCAACCAAACACCCCAACAAGTTATAAAACACGATATGAACTTAGTCAAGCCTTCAAATCACATCAAACAACGCTAAAATCACGAATTGCGCATCGATTTAAGCCTAAAAAACTTTTGAACTTCTAACTTCTACATTTGATGCCGAAACCTATCAAATCATGTCTGATTTACCTCAAATCACACACAAGTCACAAATGATACGACGGACCTACTCCAACTCCCAGAACCCCAACCCGAGCTCGGTAGACACAAAGTCAACTCTTGGTCAAACTTCTACATTTTCAACTTTCGCCAATTCAAGCCTGATTCAACTACGGACCTCCAAATCACTATCCGGATACGCTCCTAAGTCTATAATCACCCAACGGAGTTAACGAAACTATCAAAACTCCATTCCATATCCATTTAAATGCAAGTCAATATCCGGTCAACCTTTTCAACTTAAGCTTCCAACCTTGAGACTAAGTGTCTCAACTCATTCCGAAACTTCCTCGGAATCGAACCAACTACCCCCGTAAGTCACATAGCAACTATTACGCATAAAATGAGCAGTAAATAGGGGAGTGGTACTACAACTCTCAAAACGATCGACCGGATCATTACAGAACTGGATTACACATACGAGAAGTGTTAGAGAATAAATCACATGTCCTATATCGATTGTATATGTGTTCATCGAGCAGCTTATAAAGATCCTAGGTTACTCCATCATTACTCTAAAATTTTGGATTAAATATTCAGATTCTTTCACACTTGTGAGCAAAAAAAATATTAGTTTTCGTCTAAATGTCATGAAATGTGTTCTTTTCAATCAAACAATGCAAATGATTTTTTTTTCTTTTTACCATGGTAAAAATTAGTTCTTTCTCTAAGAGTGTATTTGGTATGAAGAAAAATATTTTCCTTCGAAAGTAAGTGATTTTATTATTTATTTTTTGATTTTTGGTTAAGCAGCAAAAAATATCTTTGAAAAAAATATAATTTAGGAGAACATTATATGTGAAAAAATAAGTAAGGGCGGGGGAGGATGGTAGGTCGAAGTCTAGGAACTGGAGTGCAGTGGTGATGTTAGGGGGGAGGGGTGGCGGAGGTGGGATGGGAAAAAGGTGAGGAAGGTTGAGAAGGAATTTTGAAAATTATTTTTTTCCTTCTTTTGGTGGGGAAGTGACTTTCCTCCAATTGGAAAACAAATGAGTCATGAAGAAAATATTTTTCATAATATTTTTAAGCCATGGAAAAATTGAAATTTCATACCAAACAAACCCTAAATGACATAAAATATGATCGTTTTCAAGGAAAAAGTAAACTTGAAGCGATCAAACATACTTTCACAAGTTCAAATTTGGATTTATCCTTTTAGTCTTCAGTTGCCTAGTCTGATTAACATTTAACATTAATGGTAAATGGTAACTTGCTCATCCGAGAAGCCAATAAACACGTGCTAGTGACTTTTGTTTAACTTTTGTACATCACTTGGACAATTTTATTTATTTATTTATTTTTTTGATAATTATGATTGGACTAGTAGGCATGAGCCAATGTAATCGGGGGCGGAGCTAGTATAGGTCTTGCGGGTTCGGCCGAACCCAATTACTTTTGTCCAACCCTGTATTTGTTGTCTTAAGATATTCAATATATATGCATAAATTGTTAATTTGGAACTCAATTACATAAACGGTTTAGAATTTCGAACCCATAAGGTTCAAATCTTGGTTTCGCCTCTGAATGTAACCAGTGGCGGATCTACATGTTATTTTGGGGTGCTCAAGCATCCATTATCTTTGACAAGATTTAGTAAATTTGTATAGCTAATTATAAAAATATTTAGAGAGCACCCATAACTAAACTCCTTTTTCCTTTTCTTTCAAAATTTTTATCAGTGAGCACCCACGACTTTAAAATCCAGAATATGCTAATAAATGTAACTTAGCAGAACTAACATACGATGTTATCCTAAACTCATTTTACAATTCATCACCTTTTTCGTATTAAAGAGTTGTTGCCAACCACGAAAGGCTGCGGAGGAATGGATAAGATTCTCGAATTTTTAACCAGTGGGTTAAATTCGAGTTCTAAAAATGAATTTTTTTTTTGGTAGGAAGCGATTCTCTCATTAATGAATCATACACAATGCAAATTAAAATTAGTCGGACTAGTGAATTCTGGACACATCAAATGATTAAACCAAAATTTTAAAAGTCGCTGCCCCTTCTTGAAAATAAGCACGAAAAGAAAAACATTAAGTGAAATAAGAACAACGCGAATGTTTAAAATTACCGCAAATAAACACAATCCCGCAACCCCCTCTTTCCTTTAATATAGTGAAAATGTAGAAACAAGGTATTGTAATATCACATGGTTTGCACACGTGACTAGTTAGTTTGTTAGTTGAGCTGTTAAGTTGATTAGTTAGTTAGTTAATGGTTATTATAGATGTTAATGTATGTTAAGGGTAGATTAGTCTTTTACACTTTATCTCTTCTAGCTTCTTCTGTATATAACGACATAGTGTATTCAATAGAACAGTGGCTTTGATCATTTACTCAAGCACCGACTTCCTCTCCACACTTCTTCTAGATTCTTCCACCATTGGAGTTCCTTGTAGAGCTCTGTATTTGAGCATGGTATCAGAGCAGTGGATCTAGATCCAGTCACGCTAGATCTCTGAAGTCATTTTTCTATCTCGTCATTGTTTAATCCAAGTTCGTTGAAGCTTGTTGTTTTTTCAGTCATGCCGGAATCAGATTCGTCTGTGCCGGCATCTGGTTCGTCTGTGCCGGAGATTGTAACAATTGACCACAATCATCCGCTATACATTGGACCTTCCGATAATCCTAGCTCACTCACAATATCGGTGAAGCTCACAGGCTCGGAGAACTATAGGCTTTGGAGCAGATCTATGAGAATAGCACTCTTAGGAAAGAAGAAATTAGGTTTCGTTAATGGTAGATGCAGCAAAAATGCATGAAGGAGAGCTGCTTGAACAGTGGGAGACGCAACGCCATTGTTCTCTCATGGATAATGAATAATGTGGCACCAGAACTTCTAGGTGGAGTTGTATATGCGTCTGATGCATATCAGGTATAGGAAGATCGGCGAGAGAGATTTAACAAGGTAAATCGTGTTAGGATTTTTCAGTTGCACCGTGAAATTGCTACATTATCTCAAGGAACAAATTCTGTTTCAGTGTATTTTTCAAAGTTGAAAGAATTGTGGCATGAGTATGATGTTTTGGTTCCATTTCCTAATTGCTGTGAAAAATCGAAAGAACATGCAGAAAATTTACATCAACAAAGAGTTATGGAATTTCTATCTGGTTTGAATGAATCATATAACCAAGCTAGGAGACAAATTTTAATGAAAACAAATTCACGTACTCTAAACCAAGCATATGTTATGATTATTCAAGATGAGAGTCAACAGAAAATAAGTGCGAATGTTGTAACTTTTGATAAGATAGAGCCTTTAGCTATGCAAGCAGGACGAGGAAGAGGTAGGAGACAATACCTACAATGTGATTTATGTCATCTTAAGGGGCATACTAAAGAAAAGTGTTATAAGATTGTTGGTTACCCTGCTGATTATGCTCCTAGAAGGAGATATGGTGAAGGAACAAGGTCTCAAAGTGAATGGCAACAGAATCCAAGCAATGGTAAATCTGGATGGACCAATTCTAATGCTGGTAGGCAAGGTGGAAATGATGGTAATGCTGGTAGACCAGGTGGCTGGAGAAGAGAACCTATGGCTAATGTTAACAATGCAGATGTGAGTTCATTTTGTATGCAGGATGTGAGTGATGGTCCTTCTGGAGTTGCTGAGCACAAGGGATATCACTACTTCACAAATGATCAGTATAATCAGATTTTAAATCTCTTAAACAAGGATCACATCCTGAGTTAAGCATAGCAAACATGGCAGGTCCAGGAACAAGTGCATGAATAGGTCCAGGAACAAGTCAGGAGCAGGTGAGGTTAAATGTATGATGAGCAATTTAGCAAAAAAATCACAGAAGTAGGAATGGGTTGTAGACTCAGGTGCTACTCATCACATCACCTCTGATTTAGAGCTATTATCAGATGTTAAAAGCACAAAGAAAACTGATAAAGATAGAGTACATCTTCCAACCGTAGAGCAAGCTGATATTACTCATATTGGTAGTGCAATTCTATTAGACAAGAGAGAGATCAAAGATGTGCTTTTTGTTCGTAACTTCAAGTTTAACTTGCTCTCAGTAGCAAAGTTGACAAAGGAACTAAAATGTAATGCCAATTTCTTTCCTGATTTCTGTATGTTTCAGGATCTTTGGAATGGCAAGGTGAAGGGGATTGGTAAAGAAAGAGGAGGCTTGTATGTACTCAGAGGTTTAGCCAACAGAACAAATGCACTCAATGCTGTGAGCAGGACAAGCAGGGATTCAAATGAAGTTTGGCATAACAGGCTAGGCCATCCATCTACATTAGTAATGAGACATGTAGTAGGCTTAAACAATAAGAATAATGCGATGTCACATGAAAATGGCTTGATATGTCCACTAGCAAAGCAGACTAGGTTGAAGTTTCCATTAAGCAAGTCTAGATCAGCAGTAGCATTTCATCTTGTACACATGGACCTATGGGGACCCTATAAGACTGCCACATTTGATAAGAAACAATATTTTCTAACAATTATGGATGATTACTCTAGATATACATGGTGTTCTTTTTGCAGTTAAAATCTGAAGCAATAGTGGCAATAAGACAATTCATTGCCATGGTTCAAAATCAGTTTGGTATTGTGATCAAGGTAATAAGATCGGATAATGGATCTGAATTTTTCAATGCACAATGTTCTGAGCTGTTAACAGGTCTTGGCATAATTCATCAAAGTAGTTGCCCTTACACTCCACGGCAGAATGGCATAGTGAAGAGAAGGCACAGATACATACTTGACACTGCAAGGGCTTTGAAGTTTCAAGGCTCAATTCCAACCAGATATTGGGGAATGTGTGTTAAAATAGCAGTATACTTGATCAACATGTTGCCATCAAGTGTTCTTGGGGGCAAAACTCCATATGAGCTATTGTACCACAAGAATGCTAATATTGCACATCTAAGGACTATAGGTTGTTTGTGCTATGCAACAAATCTAGTCAAGACAGATAAATTTGCAGAAAGAGCCAAGGCAGCCATTCTCATGGGATACTCTGAGACACAGAAGGGTTATATACTACTTGATTTAGACACAAAGCAATTCTTTACAAGTAGGGATGTCATATTCAAGGAATCAGAATTTCCTTTCTCTAAGAAGGATGAGAACATATCACATGATTCACAGGAGCACATGGATCAGGGAGCACTACAAATCTCACCTTTGCACATACAGTCAGGAGTCAACACACACAATATCACAATAGCAGGAGAGATGAGCCTACAAGACAATGGAAGAAGTGAATTGCATGGGAATCTACCAATTCTACAGGAGACAGGCAGGGACGATATGCATGAAGTTTCTCAAAATATACACAGTATGGATGTTGCTCATGCAGACACACATAGTGTTGAACATCATGAAGGTGCAGAGACTTTAGTCAACAGACAAGAAGATGTTGATGAAGGGATTTCCAGACCAAATAGAAGGTATGCAAAGCAGGTTAAGGAGCCAATATGGATGAAATATTATGTCACAACAAAGAAGACAACCAACTGCAGTTATCCTATCTCCAACTACCTGACTTATGATCATACTAGTACAAGCTACAAATGCTACTTGGCTAAGCTCTCTCAACTGACAGAACCACAGACATTTAAGGAGGCAGTGAAGGACATCAGGTGGATAGAGCTATGAAGCAAGAAGTAAAGGCATTAGAAGATAACAAGACATGGGAGATAGTGAACTTGCCAAAAGGTAAGAACATTGTTGGATCCAAATGGGTGTACAAGATCAAGTTCAAGGCAAATGGAGAAGTTGAAAGATTCAAGGCAAGGTTAGTGGCAAAAGGATACAGCCAAGGGAAGGTTTAGATTATCATGACACATTCTCACCAGTGGCAAAAATGGTCACAGTGAGATCTGTCATTTCACTAGCAACATCAAGAGGCTGGAACCTGTTTCAGATGGATGTCTATAATGCATTCTTGCAGGGAGATCTGAATGAGGAAGTATATATGGAGCTGCCTGAGGGGTTCAGAACACAAGGGGAGCAGAAGGTATGCAGATTACTCAAGTCCTTGTATGGACTTAAGCAGGCCTCTCGACAGTGGAATATAAAGCTGACTGAAGCATTACTTGGAGCAGGGTTCACACAAAGTCATCATGACTACTCACTCTTTACATTGAGGAGTCAAGAAGGAATAGTAATCATCTTAGTGTATGTGGATGATCTCCTCGTCATAGGAAGCAGCTCAACACTAGTGAAGAAAGCAAAGGACATACTGCATCAGAATTTTAAGGTGAAGGATCTAGGGGAACTCAAATATTTTCTAGGTATTGAGGTTCTAAGATCTAAAGGTGGAGTGTTTCTAAATCAAAGGAAGTACATCTTGGAGCTGATCTCAGAAATGGGGCTGAGTGGTGCAAAACCAGCTAATACACCATTGGAAGTAAATTCCAAGTTGACAACAATGGAATATGATCAGGCTAATGGTATCACAGGGGATCCACCTTTGCAGAATGCTGGTACTTATCAGAGGTTAGTAGGAAGGCTTTTATATGTTACCATTACCAGACTAGATATCAATTATGCAGTGCAGGCATTGAGTAGTTTATGCAATCACCAAAAAGATCTCATTGGGATGCTGTCTTGAGAGTTGTAAGATATTTGAAAATGGCTCCTGGACAAGGGATTTTAATGAAGTCTAACTATGCAGAAACTCTTACTTGTTGGTGTGATTCTAACTGGCTGCATGTCTAAATACTAGAAGGTCCGTTACTGGATATGTCATCAAATTTGGAGATTCAATGATTTCTTGGAAATCAAAGAAACAACAGACTGTCTCAAGAAGCTCAGCTGAGGCAGAATACAGGAGTATGGCAGCTAGTATTGCTGAGGTGACATGGTTACTTGGGCTATTCAAGGAGTTGGGTGTAGACATAACTCAACCAGTCACAATATATAGTGATAGTAAGTCAGCAATCCAACTTGCAGCAAACCCTGTGCTTCATGAAAGAATAAAGCACATAGAGATTGATTGTCATTTTATTCGAGACAAGATCAAGGAAGGAACAGTTAAGGCACTGCATGTTAACACTAAAGAGCAACAAGCAGACCTACTGACTAAGGCTTTGGGAATAGCTCAACATATCCATTTTCTTGGAAAGTTGGGAGTGTTCAACATTTTACACCCTCCAGCTTGAGGGGGCATATTGTAATTCACATGGTTTGTACACGTGACTAGTTAGTCTGTTAGTTGAGCTGTTAAGTTGATTAGTTAGTTAGTTAATGGTTGTTATAGATGTTAATGTAAGTTAAGGGTAGATTAATCTTTTACACTTTATCTCTTTTAGCTTCTTCTGTATATAACGACATAGTGTATTCAATAGAACAGTGGCTAGATCATTTACTCAAGCACCGACTTCCTCTCCACACTTCTTCTAGATTCTTCTACCATTGGAGTTCCTTGTAGAGCTCTATATTTGAGCACAAGGGTGACCCAATTTACCTTTTTTGTTTTTTGAATTACCAAAATTATAAGGACAAAAAAATGTCAGCTAGCATAACAATATCTAATGTGCTGGGTATAAAAGTATATCGAATTTTTAATAATAAGTTCAAACAGTAAAGAATTCTGTTTTCTACAACTAATAAGATAGCAACTACATAAAAAATACTACTCAAAAAGATATTAAATTATATAAAAGCCAAAGAATAATTGAGAGATCGTGATAGGAAAGAAAAAGGAATTTGCATGACCTTTCAAAGTATACCAAGGTCAATTAGCATAACAATGTCTGCTATACTATTATGTTCTATGGCTGTTAAAAGAGGTGGAAACTCAAGTCAAAACTAGAATCTTGGAGGTCATGATGAGCTAACAGTGCTTATGTATTTTGATTTCAACATACGGTCAGACCTCTCTATAACATCATCCCTATATAACAACATTTACTATAAAAGCCAAGCTTTTTCGGAACTAATATTTATATTATGTTATAATATATGTTCTCTATAACAGCACTTCGCTATAACATCCAAAATATTCTGAACAAACGAGGCTATTATAGAGAGGTTTGATTGTATATACGGCTGGAAGAAGACAAGAACACCCATGTATTTATGCATACATAGTATTTCATCCATTTCAATTTAAGTTGTGAACCTATTTAACTGATTTAAAAAAGATAGAAATTTTAAAATTTTTTATCTTAAACATGTTATAATATTTGTGCAGCCAAAAGACTTTGAAAACTCGTGGTCTGAAGCTTACTATAACGTACATTTGTGTATGTGTGTGTGTCTATATATAT